GTATTTATTCATCACGTATTAGGTCTGTTAAGTTGTGTTGTCATGTTTAGTTTTAGTATTTCCTGTTTTATTCTGACAATGTCATGTGTTCTCTGTTAATTGTATTTAGCTTTTCTCTCCTGGTCCTGTCATTAGGTTTATGGTTGTCAGCTGTTTCCCCATATGTTTCCACTTCCCTTGATTCACCTCATGTCTGTATTTAAGCCTTTTGTTTTCTTCATGCCATTGTCGGGTCGTCTGTTTATTCTGCCCTAGTTCTAGCCTGGTTCTGTTTATTTTGACCTCGGTCTTAGTTATGGTTTTCATCTGTTATTCATCATTAGTCTTAGTCATAGTATTTGCTGGTTATTTTCCATCACAGTCATAGTTTAGGTTTTGGTCTCAGTACCGTTTAGTGTTTTGTTTTTTAGTGTTTTGTCAGTTTACTTTGGTTTCCTGGTTTACTCCTGCCGTCATCTAATAAAGGATCACTTTTCTGCTCAAACTTTCAACTACTCGTCATCATCTGCTTTTGGGTCCTGTTTCCACACACATCGGCGCACCCCGCCGTGACAGAACGACCCGACCAGTATGGACCCAGCGGATGTCTGCGAGGAATTTTTGAGTTCAGCGCACGTGTGACCATCCTCCAGGGACAATGGAACATCTATTCTGTATGCAGACAGGAGAATGAGGCGGAGTCAGTTAAAGTTCGGCTTCGCCAGATCTTGTCTGCTTACCCTGTCTACACGGCAGAATTGTCGGAGGATGTGCAGGATTTCGTTCGCACTGTTTTTTCACTACAACAACATCAGGACTGCGAACAGGAATCGCTGCCGCTGCCTTGTATGCCTGAGACAGTTCGTGTCGGCTCGCTGAGACTCGCTGCAGCGTCCCCACCTCACAGCTCACCAGTTTCCACGCCCTCGACACAGTCTCGCCATGCTCTTGCCACGGTCCAGTGCGGGGAAGCACTGGACACCATAGAGTTAGACCACGACGAGCGCCAGTCGATATTCTGCGCTCTATTGGAGGAGGAGTTCCGGTGGAAGCCATGGCTCATTCCGGAGCACGAGCCCTCTTTCCGGGGAACTCGACTGGCTCTCGGGGGACCTCGGACTTACCAGGGACTTCCACCCATCGCTCCGCCGTCTTCCACTTCCAAGAAGAAACGGCGCGCGCCACCGACGCTCCGCATCACGCACGCAAGGGAGTGACTATGTTTTGGCTCCTCATGTTTTTTCTCCGGAGGTTATGGAAACTGACACTGCTTTTCCGGTTCATGAGCCCGGCTGTAAAGAGACTGTTTGCACAGGAAATGCTAGCCATCAGGCTCAGCTAAGCTGTTGTGGGACTGC